CCAACAATCAAAGTATACTTATATATGGAGGTGTCAATCAAACAGGATATCAATATTCTGGTCTAGCAGTTCTGAATATTTTAAATTATGTGTGGACAGTAATATCTTCGACTGGAAGCGCATCATCTTTATTTTCAAGTGGCCACAAAGCTACACTCTATTTTGATATTATAATTTTCGCATTTGGTAAATATTATGAACTAGTTTGTTTTTCTAATATTTAACCATAGATTTATCGGATTTCTGAATTTACTGTATCTAGGTGAATTCCCTTTCAATAACTCTCGTTATCTTATGGATACCACAGTAAGAATTCTCAATATATCAAATGGTCAGTATAGATGGGTTAATTCATTCAGTCCTCCTCCAACACCTCTTTCAACTCAAAACCAAAGTATGAATATTCAGAACCCGACTTCAAAAACAAATATAATTATTGTTGTATCTACGATTGGTGGCAGCACTGTATGCATCAGAATGTTAGTATTAATTGGGTATATTATTTATAAGAAAAATCGATCAAAAGAATTTAGAGATGTAGCGGAAAGTAATAATGAAATCAAGTATGTAACGAAAATTAATAATGAAGTCAGATAGTGACTCATTAAAACAAAAACATTACTTAACGTTAAAAGATAAAGCAACTATTTTAGTAAACTCGCATGCGTATAATCGCCATGAAAATCCCATGCACGTAAATGTTTCAAAGTGAATAATTTGTGTATGCAGTTTTAAAAAAATCTGATATATTTTGCATATATGTACATACGTATTGCATCTATTTACTATATCTATGAAGATAAAAAGTTAATTCATGAGATGTTATTTCTGTAATAAAACTTTTAATCATTATTATTAGCAAAAAAACACACACATACACTTCTGATAAATTTATTGTAACTGATAATGAATTTGTAATAAAATTTTTGATTTGCTAAATTTTTAGCAAAGCCTTGATCTCCTTGGTATTAATACTATATATATATATATTACAAGTGTTTGTGAGCCCCTTCATGATTCAAATTATGTTATTGTCAAAAATTCTGTCACAAAACCTGCTAGCTATTCCAGTGACACATAGTACGTGATTAAGGTTGAGTTAGTTTTCATTAGAATTATCATGAATTCTATAAATAATTCTGTTACAAACTTACTTGCCATGCCGGTGATATATAGTATGTTGATAAGTTAAGTTGGTTTTTATTAGAATTGAGTTATTGTAAAATATTTAGTACGGAATCTATTATCATTCTATCAATTTAGTTTGATTCAATCTTTTTTTTTTTTTTTTTTGTGAGCTCCGTGAGTCCTGCGATTACAATATATGTAATTACTTAAACTTGTTATATTTCGCAAAATCTATTTATATAATAAATTAACAAAAATGCCAAAAGTATTTACGGAATCTGAAAATATAATGATTGTCTATCTTGTAATTACAGAACTTACGATGCTCACAAAAATTATAAATTGATCAACTTCAACTAAATTGAAAAGAGCAATAATACAGTACAGTACACAATAGTTAGCTTGTTTGCTATAAATTTGTCTTTATAGAACTTATTTGCTATTCCGGTGACCGCAGTATGTGGTTAAGGTTGTGTGAGTTGCATTAGAGTTTTCATGATTATTACTGAGCTATGTAAAAAATTTATTTGTAGAGCTACTCGATA